GTCTTGATGAATAATCTGTCCCTATAAATTCGAGGTTAATGCCACTAATAATACACTAGATTGCCTACTTACCACCAGATGAGGACGAGTGGATGGTGATGGGTTTGGCTCCACTGGTCTGGTGTAGAACAGGCTCTCTAGAGGCTGTTTGTAACTGTGCACACAAAAATCAATGCCCCGGGAAACAGGAAGCAGCTCCCCTTACACAGCTTAAGGTCTCGGCCCCCAGGGCCTGACTGTGGGTATGCCCACGAGGCCTGCCCATAAGTCCACCTACATGGCCCATCTATTTTTGTTATGTAGAAACAGCAATGTTTGCATCGCAGGGTTAACATGCCTCAAGTGTCTGTTGTTGACAGCCGCTAAAGGCGCTTCCACCCCTATAGCCAAGTTAAACTCAGCTATTCAATCAGATGATCTCATAGAAACCATGATTGGAGTATTATGGCATTTTGCTGTGCATGCACACCAGTCTCACAATGTATTCTTATGGGTAAACATTGTACTGCCTGAGATCATGTACACTGATGATCTCAGACACAAAGGCAGAGTGTGATCATGAAGACTGGAGCAGCGAGGGCTGAAAGGTAAATAATACTTACTTTTTAAACCCTCACATGGGAAGGGTGGGACCTAAATAGGCGTGTTAGCAATCAGGTGTCAGGACACTATAGCGTTAGTAATTCATGTTTGTATTCCAAATGCTATAGTATTCCTTTAATATATTAATGTATCACTTTGAAATTTAAGACCTTTGGTAGACCTCTTAGTATAATTATATCTGATCAGATCTTTGTTACTGGTGTATCTACAATTTTGCACATATCAGTTCTTTACAGCATTACACTGCCTTGTTTTTTCTTGTCTTATTATAGGTTTTATTTATCTATATAATATTTTAGCCATCACACTATTGTCTTAAAGGACCACTCCAACCACACAAAGCACTTTAGCTTGCTGAATTATACTTACTTTTCAATCCTTCACATGGGAAGGGGGGACCTAAATAGGTGTGTTAGCAATCAGGTGTACGGAAACTATAACGTTAGAAATGCATGTTTGTATTCCAAATGCTATAGTATTCCTTTTATATTTTGCTCTGAAATTTAAGACCTTTGTTAGACTGCTTATTATATCTTTTATCTACTGAATATCAGCATTTGTGCTTTAAAATAAATAAAATATTTTATCGGATCTTTGTTACTGGTTTAAAAAGTTCCCTGTTGGAAACCAGAACAGTTCTCAGATCAAGTACAGCTGGATAAATAGCAGTTAGTTGTCTGCAAGCATGTGTGTCAGGCCTACAGCATCTACTCTGCCAACTTCTGCCACTGCACAGTGCCACTCATATCTGGTGTCACAGTAGCTTGCACGCATAGTACCACTAATCGAAAAAAAAATGACAGGCAGAGGCAGGCCACCCCGCAGGGGCCGTCGTGGTCATTGTGCTGTGATTCCCTTTGGCCCTAGAATAATGCCCAGTGTTCAGAGGCCACGTACCCTGAACTCGAAAAGTTCTGAGGACATAGTTGACTGGCTAACACAGGACACCCAATCTTCTACAGCTTCCGCTCGGAACCTTGACGCACCATCCTCCTCCAGCTTAGCTTCGGGCACCTCTCAAGTTACCACTCGCCCGCCTGCCGCCACCACCAACACTAGCACCACAGCAGCTTCACTTGGTATGTCAGAGGAGTTATTTACACATCAGTTGGAAGAAATGAGTGATGCGCAACCATTATTGCCAGAGGATGTAGATAACATGGATATGTCTCAGTCAGGCAGCATTACACACATGGACGTACGGTGTGATGATGATGATGTTGTACCCGCTGCTGCTTCCTTTGCTGAGTTGTCAAGATACAAGTGAAGCGGTTGATGATGACGATGCGTCCGTGGATGTCACGTGGGTGCCCGCTAGAAGAGAAGAAGAACAGGGGGAAAGTTCAGATGGGGAGACAGAGATGAGGAGGAGGAGATGAGTTGGAAGCAGGGGGAGGTCGTCGCAAGGAGCTAGTGGCACAGTCAGACAGCATGCATCGGCACCCGGGGTCAGCCAGACAGCACGCCAATCAACGCATGCGGTTGCCACCACCAGAATGCCATCATTGCAGAGCTCAGCAGTGTGGCATTTTTTTTGTGTGTCTGCCTCTGACAACAGTGATGCCATTTGCAACCTATGCCAAAAGAAACTGAGTCGTGGGAAGTCCAACACCCACCTAGGTACAACTGCTTTGCGAAGGCACATGATCGCACATCACACACGCCTATGGGATCAACACATGAGTACAAGCAGCACACAAACTCAAAGCCGCCATCCTCCTCCTGGTCCAGCATCTTCAGCCACGTTAACCCTGCTGTCCTCCTTGCCCCCTCTCAACCATTCGCCCCTCCGTCTCTCGCCTTGAGCAGTTCCTGCTCATCTGCCCACAGTCAGGTGTCTGTCAAGGACATGTTTGAGCGTAAGAAGCCAATGTCAAAAAGTCACCCCCTTGCCCGGTGTCTGACAGCTGGCTTGACTGAACTCTTAGCCCACCAGCTTTTACCATACAAGCTGGTGGAGTCTGAGGTGTTCAAAAAATTTGTAGCTATTGGGACACCGCAGTGGAAGGTACCCGGACGAAATTTATTTGCACAAAAGGCAATCCCCAACCTGTACTCGATTGTGCAAAAGGAAGTAATGGCATGTCTGGCACACAGTGTTGGGGCAAGGGTCCATCTGACCACTGATACCTGGTCTGCAAAACATGGTCAGGGCAGTTATATCACCTACACTGCGCATTGGGTAAACCTGCTGACGGCTGCCAAGCATGGAATGCGTGGCTCTGCAGAGGAGTTGGTGACACAGCCACAACTTGCAGGCAGGCCTGCTGCCACCTCCTCTACTCCTCCTACTCCATCCTCTTCCATAACCTCCTCAGATGAGTCCTCTTCTGCTGCTGCATCTTGCCCAACATCAACGGCACCCCCCCAGCTCCCCAGGTACTATTCCATATCCCGGATACTGCAGTGTCACGCCGTCTTGGGGTTGACATGCCTGAAAGCAGAGAGTCACACCGGACCAGCACTCCTGTCCGCCCTGAACACACAGGTGGATCAGTGGCTGACTCCGCACCAACTAGAGATCGGCAAAGTGGTTTGTGACAACGGAAGAAATTTGTTGGCGGCATTGCATTTGGGCAAGTTGACACATGTGCCGTGCGTGGCACATGTGTGTAATCTGATCGTACAACGCTTTGTGCATAAGTACCCAGGCTTACAGAACGTCCTGAAGCAGGCCAGGAAGGTGTGTGGCCATTTCAGGCGTTCCTACGCGGCCATGGCGCACTTTTCAGATATCCAGCGGTGAAAAAACATGCCAGTGAGGCGCTTGATTTGCGACAGCCCGACACGTTGGTATTCAACACTCCTAATGTTCGACTGCCTGCTCCAACAAGAAAAAGCCGTTAACGAGTATTTGTATGACCGGGGTGCTAGGACAGCCTCTGCGGAGCTGGGAATTTTTTTGCCACATTACTGGACGCTCATGTGCAATGCCTGTAGGCTCATGCGTCCTTTTGAGGAGGTGACAAACCTAGTCAGTCGCACCAAAGGCACCATCAGTGACATCATACCATTTGTTTTCTTCCTGGAGCATGCCCTGCGAAGAGTGCTGGATCAGGCCGTAGATGAGCATGAAGAGGAAGAGGAAGAGTTGTGGTCACCATCACCACCAGAAACAGCCTTATCAGCATCGCTTGCTGGACCTGCGGCAACGCAGAGAGAGGAGTCTGAAGAAGAGGAGTCAGAGGAGGAAGGTGGCTTTGAGGAGGTGGAAGACCACAGCAGGCATCCCAGGGGGCTTGTTGTCACCTTTTGGGGACTCTTGGTGTTGTACGTGGCTGGGTGGAGGAAGAGACCTTCAATGACATCAGTGAGGACAAGGAACAGGACATGGCTAGCTTGGTATCCAACCTTGTGCAAATGGGGAGTTTGCGGTTGTGCAAATGGACTGTTTATGGTTGTTTGCTGTGCGTTAAACGGGGAGTTTGGTCTGTCACTGTGAAGCGGGCGTAACCCTTACACTACCTGATCATTACAACATCATACCTGATGTTTTAAAGCATGTTATTCCAAACAATTTAGGAATGTTAGGTGATTTATGCCCTTTATGGATTAAAACCAGACTCTGCATCAACTATGTAATTTTCCATGGGAGTTTTGCCATGGATCCCCCGCCGGCATGCCACAGTCCAGGTGTTAGTCCCCTTGAAACAACTTTTCCATCACTATTGTGGCCAGAAAGAGTCCCTGTGGGTTTTAAAATTCGCCTGCCTATTGAAGTCTGTGGCGGTTCGCCCGGTTCGCCCTTTCACGAACATCTGTGGAAGTTCGCCGTTCGCGAACCGAAAATGTTATGTTCGCGACATCACTAATGAAAATGAAGGTAAGGGACCTCAGTTAAGAAAAGGATAAATGAGTCATTTATAACACGTGCGTTTACAGAGGAAGAGGTTCTATTTCAACTGTCAAAAGTAAAGACAAATAAGTCAATGGAACCTGATGGAATAAACCCAAAGCTATTAAAAGAGCTTAGTTGTGTACTAGCAAAACCATTAACAGATTTATTTAACCAATCATTGTTAACAGGAGTAGTCCCAGAAGATTGGAAGTTAGCGAATGTTGTGCCCATTTACAAGAAAGGTAAAAGGGAGGAGTCAGGCAACTATAGGCCGGTAAGCCTTACTTCAGTAGTGGGGAAAGTGATGGAAACCATGTTAAAGGATAGGATGGTTGAACATCTAAAAACACATGGATTTCAAGATCAGAGACAACATGGGTTTACTTCAGGGAGATCATGCCAAACTAATCTTATTGATTTTTTTGATTGGGTAACTAAAATTATAGATCAGGGTGGTGCAGTAGACATTGCTTACCTAGATTTCAGTAAGGCTTTTGACACTGTTGCACATAGAAGGCTTATCAATAAACTGCAATCTTTAAGTTTGGATTCCAATATTGTTGAATGGGTAAGGCAGTGGCTGAGTGACAGGCAACAGAGGGTTGTAGTTAATGGAATATATTCGAAGCTTGGACTTGTCACCAGTGGGGTACCTCAGGGATCTGTACTTGGACCCATTCTCTTTAATATTTTTATTAGTGATATTGCAGAACGTCTTGATGGTAAGGTATGTCTTTTTGCTGATGATACTAAGATATGTAACAGGGTTGATGTTCCAGGAGGGATAAGCCAAATGGAAAATGATTTTGGTAAACTAGAAAAATGGGCAGAATTGTGGCAACTGACATTTAATGTGGATAAGTGCAAGATAATGCATCTTGGACGTAAAAACCCAAGGGCTTAGTACAGAATATTTGATAGGAGGAAAGGGATTTAGGGTGATTATTTCTGATGACTTAAAGGTAGGCAGACAATGTAATAGAGCAGCAGGAAATGCTAGCAGAATGCTTGGTTGTATAGGGAGAGGTATTAGCAGTAGTAAGAAGGAAATGCTCATGCCATTGTACAGAACACTGGTGAGACCTCACTTGGAGTATTGTACACAGTATTGGAGACCGTATCTTCAGAAGAATATTGATACCTTAGAGAGGGTTCAGAGAAGGGCTACTAAACTGGTTCATGGATTGCGGGACAAAACTTACCAGGAAAGGTTAAAGGATCTTAACATGTATAGCTTGGAGGAAAGACGAGACAGGGGGGATATGATAGAAACATTTAAATATATAAAGGGAATCAACACAGTAAAGGAGGAGACTATATTTAAAAGAAGAAAAACTACCACAACAAGAGGACATAGTCTTAAATTAGAGGGACAAAGGTTTAAAAATAATATCAGGAAGTATTACTTTACTGAGAGGGTAGTGGATGCATGGAATATCCTTCCAGCTGAAGTGGTAGAGGTTAACACCGTAAAGGAGTTTAAGCATGAATGGGATAGGCATAAGGCTATCCTAACTATAAGATAAGGCTAGGAACTAATGAAAGTATTTAGAAAATTGGGCAGACTAGATGGGCCGAATGGTTCTTATCTGCCGTCACATTCTATGTTTCTATGTTTCTATGCTAAAGTGCTGGTTCATTCCACTATCCTCTCTCGCTTTGACTACTGTAATCCACTTCTCAGTGGTCTTACATACTTCCAAATTGCCCTGTTACAGTCTATAATGAACGCGGCGGGAAGGATCATTTTTCTCTCTACCGCACCTCCCATACGTAACTGCTTCTGTCAGTCCCTGCATTGGCTTCCCGTAAGATATAGGGCTCAATTTGAAAATCCTGGCTCCTGCTTTCAAATCTCTACATATTTTCATGAAAAATCTCCTTCTGATTAATTTATTGATTTTGCATTGGAAGAAAATTAATTTCACATACAAAACATTCCAAACCATAAAGGTTTACATTTAACCAGATGAAACATTGTGATGTGTCAATTATAGTTAAGAATAACTATTTCAATCCAGATCTCAACTGAAAAGGCCAACAGTTGCTATGTATTCAATAAAAATTCATACTAAAACTAACCAATACGTTAAAATGGAAGTACTTTAGTTACTTACTACTCCAGATGAATTTTCCAAATCATAACTTCTAGCAGTAGTAGCAGTACTAATGGAGAGAACAGTGGAGGGCTTCACACTGACAATGGTTTCCTTGCTGGATGTGGCAGTGGCAGATGTTGTAGAAGAGGTTTCTGGATAGCTAACAGATGTTAGGGACAATGCAGATATTGTAATAAAGGATGTTTCTTTAGAAGACAATGTAGTTACCGTTATTGGACGTGTACTAGTAGATGCTTCAGAACTAATAGAAATGGTTGCCGTGGGAAATGATGTACTTGCTAAGCTTTCTAAAGTAGAAGCCTCTGTAACAGGAGCTGTTGTTGATGAAACAGTTTCCTTTGTTGACAATGTGGTCTCAGAAGTGCTGAAGGAAGTGCCTGCCGTCCCAGTACCCACTGTGAATCCAGATTTTGAGAAAAGAGACAAGACAAATGTTTTAGTTTGGTGCAATGTAATTTGTTTTAAAATAATTGAAATTACATTAAATAAATACAAAAATTTATACAACTCTAACATAATGAATTAAATCAGTCATATTGTGTGAGTTTGTTAGAACCAATAATAAGGTAACTTTTAAACGTTAATGTAATTCTTTCTGTTTAAGGTAAACATTAAAACCATCAAAACACAACGTTCTCTCTCATATTGTATGTAACTGCAATCTAACACTATAATCATTTTTTTTGTACATATAATAACTCTATTTTTGAATTGCCATGTGACTACCATATTTTCAAATGGTTTTCTGAAGATAGTATCTACTAATGTTTTTAATTTCATGCATCTTATTTTACACATCCAAAATTAAGCTCTAACATGAAATCTTTTATTCTGTCTTTAAAAAAATAATCGACACACAAAATGTGTTTTCTTATGCTGCATTATTAAACAATGATATGCTTCAAAACTGAAAAACATGACAACTGTCACAGCTGTCCTTGTTACGATATTCAAGACGGCAGTTGACCCATTCCTTTTAAACGCATCATATAAATAATACATCAAAATATATACAAAAGCAACAAATAAAAAAAAAAAGAAAAATGTACTTTACATGTTAAAAGTTTTGCTGTCACACCATATTATTTTCAATTTAAGTAATGAAGTTTCACCAAACTAGTAGGAATCAAGTTATCTAATCACGAACATTGAACTTGCATTGCGGTGGTAAGGGTATCCATTGGACAAGTGCTCCAGTGTTTCTAGGATTGTTGCTAAATTGAGAGATTCTTAATGGATTAATTACAATGTATGATATCAGGTATCACAGTAGATTGGAGCAAAAATTCATAAAAACTTTAGGTGGGGTCAGGGCCTGAGCGGCATGACGGCTGGACGTGCTTCCAATCTAAAACACAGCCGATTACTCGAATACATGCATGCCACGTTGTCTTAATCTGTGCCAACCCATCTCCTGAAAATAGTTGGAGTGCCCTGAAACTTACTGTTGTAAGTTGTATCTGACGTGCCCCGAAACTTACTGTTATAAGTTGTATCTGATGTGATTGCCAGACTGGTAAGTTGGCCGATCCTTCATCCTGTGTGACACTGCGCCCTCTGAGATCCCGCTCCCCTCTTCTGGGCTGGTGGGGGTTATCCTGGTCCCCTTTGAAAGGAGCTGCAACACGGTCTTTCAAAAATGGTCGACGCAAAGATACTGCACAGCATGGAGAGCAGGCAACTGCTTGAAACTGGAAATCTAATTTCCACGCAGCGTTTGAATCAATATGTTAGCAATATGTTAGCAGTTTTGAAGGAGCCTGGAGACTAGGTAGACACATCTTGTTCTACCCACTCTCAAGACACCGCATCTATCCAAAGCTCTGTTTCAGCACCCTCCTCCCAGCGAGGAAGCAAGAAGGGCCATGAACCCTCCCGCAGTCCACACATCAGAGAACCGGTGAGAGCAGCCTGTAGACATGAAGAAATGGTTCCCAGTTCTACCTGGGGCTGCAATGATACCGCACAACATGGCACCTTGGACGGCACAAACTTTCTTAAGTAAAGATCGGCCCTGACCACTACAGGCATAGGTTGACAAGGTGACACTCGCGCAGTCACTTGCTCAGAGAGTCTACACAAGCTGTTGGCTTTGCCACAATGCCACTGACTGCTTACACTCCACAACAACTAGCACCTTAACACAAGTTTGCCTATCATGTGCCTCTTTCATGCTACTTAACAGACAGGGTGATTACTCTGAGCCCAGAATATCTACTGCGTGGTGCCTCTCTTCTGTGTATTATCATGTGATATCAGAATGCCTAAATGTTTATCTTTACTATTTTTGCTTGTTTCTGTCCTGACTCACATGCATATCTGTTTGTTTTATTTCTCCATAGCTTATATTATCTCAAGTCTTCTGTTTAGACCTATAGTTTAGCCTGTTTACTAAAATAAAAAAGTGCAATTCTCTTATATGCCAAGACACTGGATCCACATGTACAGGGAGTGCAGAATTATTAGGCAAATGAGTATTTTGACCACATTATCCTCTTTATGCATGTTGTCTTACTCCAAGCTGTATAGGCTCGAAAGCCTACTACCAATTAAGCATATTAGGTGATGTGCATCTCTGTAATGAGAAGGGGTGTGGTCTAATGACATCAACACCCTATATCAGGTGTGCATAATTATTAGGCAACTTCCTTTCCTTTGGCAAAATGGGTCAAAAGAAGGACTTGACAGGCTCAGAAAAGTCAAAAATAGTGAGATATCTTGCAGAGGGATGCAGCACTCTTAAAATTGCAAAGCTTCTGAAGCGTGATCATCGAACAATCAAGCGTTTCATTCAAAATAGTCAACAGGGTCGCAAGAAGCGTGTGGAAAAACCAAGGCGCAAAATAACTGCCCATGAACTGAGAAAAGTCAAGCGTGCAGCTGCCACGATGCCACTTGCCACCAGTTTGGCCATATTTCAGAGCTGCAACATCACTGGAGTGCCCAAAAGCACAAGGTGTGCAATACTCAGAGACATGGCCAAGGTAAGAAAGGCTGAAAGACGACCACCACTGAACAAGACACACAAGCTGAAACGTCAAGACTGGGCCAAGAAATATCTCAAGACTGATTTTTCTAAGGTTTTATGGACTGATGAAATGAGAGTGAGTCTTGATGGGCCAGATGGATGGGCCCGTGGCTGGATTGGTAAAGGGCAGAGAGCTCCAGTCCGACTCAGACGCCAGCAAGGTGGAGGTGGAGTACTGGTTTGGGCTGGTATCATCAAAGATGAGCTTGTGGGGCCTTTTCGGGTTGAGGATGGAGTCAAGCTCAACTCCCAGTCCTACTGCCAGTTCCTGGAAGACACCTTCTTCAAGCAGTGGTACAGGAAGAAGTCTGCATCCTTCAAGAAAAACATGATTTTCATGCAGGACAATGCTCCATCACACGCGTCCAAGTACTCCACAGCGTGGCTGGCAAGAAAGGGTATAAAAGAAGAAAATCTAATGACATGGCCTCCTTGTTCACCTGATCTGAACCCCATTGAGAACCTGTGGTCCATCATCAAATGTGAGATTTACAAGGAGGGAAAACAGTACACCTCTCTGAACAGTGTCTGGGAGGCTGTGGTTGCTGCTGCACGCAATGTTGATGGTGAACAGATCAAAACACTGACAGAATCCATGGATGGCAGGCTTTTGAGTGTCCTTGCAAAGAAAGGTGGCTATA